TATATATAAAAGCTCTGCTAAAGAAAGGAATTCAAGGAAAGCTAACCTAATCTCCCTAAAATGATGGTTTGCAATTCCAAGGAACTCACAGGTCTAGGTAAGACCCATTTTCTAATGGTGGGAAGCACAGAGATATCTTATGTTCAAGAAGTCACTGAACAAATCAAAGTACCTCTCTTCAATATACAAGCAGTAAAAAGCCTGTCCCTTTCTCTCTCTGGACAGAGCTATTACTCTTATTCTGAACTTGATCACTTAACATCTGAATTAACTTTTTTTTTTAAAAAGAAACTTTTTGCTTTCACACATATCTTTTTCCCCACTTCTATTTCAACACTATAAAAACCATCATCCGCAAACACTTCCATAAGATGCACATGCTATCCCTTTACCTAGGAAGACCTTCTTTCATCTCCAGCCACTTTTCAAATTTCTAATTATTTTTCAAAACTCATTAAATTTCACCTCCTCCTTAACAACTACCATACACAACAAAGTTGTTCACTCCCTTCTCTATGCTACCTTTGTAACTTGGACATATTGTTATTGTAACATTTATCATACCATATTAATAACTTATTTATATGACTCAGTCCCTCAGTAGACTATGAACGTCCAGAGAAGAGAAACTTAGTCATCTTTGCATCCCTGAGACTACCACTGGCAAGAAAAGTACTCAGTAATTGTCTTCTGCATCCTCAATGCCTATTTTCAAGTATCTTTCCAATTTTATCAAGAAAGGATACTTCAGACATTTCTCCACAGGCAAAAGGACAGAAATAAACACTGAAGACTACTCTCAGGTTTTAATCCTGGAAGATAAAACTGACAGAAATCAGGAGAAAGATCTGGTTTTGAAAAGAAGATGAACACCATTCTAAATATGCTAACTTTGAGCTGACGGCAGAATAACCATCTACTACTCATTCATTCATTCAACAAATACTTATTTAGTGCCTATTAGAAACTGTGCAATGGGATACAATAGTGAATAAGGCACACATAGCACCTGCCCTCACAGAGCTTACTCTGTAGTAGAAAAGTCAAATAAACAACAGGAAAGTAGAGCCTGGGCATCAACACAGACATCAGGATTAGAGGTAGTCCTTTGAGAATGATACCAATAGACATGTAAACAACAATACAAATGCATATATATACCTGTTCATACACTTGTACCATCGATCCTGCTAAGAGATAAATTTTTGATGAAGAACCCCAAATAGAATGATTCTTTAGATTTTTATGTAGAACTGGTTCTAAATATGCTCCATAAATTGTTTGTAATTGTTCTCTTTCAGGGTAACTAAAAAAGGGCATATAAGAAAAAAGAAAGCTGAAATAAATCACTATTCTAAATTATTATTTTAATGTTATGTTACAGTAGTGGTTTTCAGACTGTGCTACTCTGAGACCTAGATATCTCTGGGCTCAAGGTCACTATTCTCAATTCAACCAGATTGGATTCTTAAATATCCTATTGTCAAATACCAGGAGTTCTGGTAGAGAATTCCAAAGAAATAATTTTAAAATATAACTGTTTTAAAACCACTAATCATTAGAGAGGGCCAAAATACAAATTTTACTTAAGAAAAGCATTTTGGGTCAAGTACAGCCTGTACACAGAGCAGTAATCCACCTCAGAAGTATAAAGTAGAATACAACAAGTAAAATCAACCTGTTCCTCCAAAACCAAAATTTGTTTCAACACAGCTTAATTGGTGGCAGGAACATTTCTGAAAGAAGAATATTTATAGATGGGGTATAATTAGCCATTAGCATTAAAGTATTTAAAAAAAAGTTTTGCAAGGCAAAAATACAACAGAGGAGACAGTGCCATAACCAAAAACTTCAGGAGTTGTAACAATTATGAACCATGGAGATAAACTGATCTATTAGGGCTGATGCCATCAGTCATTAAAATGACCTAATTCTCCCTTGATCAGACTTAAATTCTCCTTTTAGTAACCTTCATGAAATCTGAAAGTATTTTTGTTTTATGAAACACATAAAACATTTCTTTCTAAAACCCAACATTCAGATTGCTGATATTAACATTTTGGAACAGAGCCTATATGAATCAGTTGTTTTATTTCCTTATATACTTCTAACAAATAAGATGCTTTGATTAAAGCCTTTATCATCCTAAATTATTGCTTATATTTTGGGAAGGGTGGGTAAAAAATATCAGAGTTTAAGTCTGGTGATTTTTATATTCTACATTTGAAGCAGTATCAGTAACAAATACCTTTAATAAAATGTAATAATATACAATGTCTCCCCAATAAAAAAAAAAACTTAAAATACTAATATACATACTCTACAGCACAAAGACGAACAATAGAAGTAAATCTGGTAGTAAGCTTATGTCTTCCCAGTCTTCCTCCAGCTGACATAGAAGCCACAATTTGAATATTTTCTAGACCAACCCATTCCAAATTTTCATCATAAAATCCTTGATATGTCAATACCTATTTGAAAATAAATATATTTTAAATGTTTGATGCTTATGGTTTTCCAACCAGGACAAAAGATATTTTTTTCTAAATTTCAGTTATTTCCAAATGTTATCATCATCCTCCACCTAACACAAGAGTTTAAGACTGAAATACATTTTAAATTCTCATATCATTGAAAAATAATATTGTTCAAATCTCTGTGTTCAATTAATGTTAGCTGAATTATCCTCATTATTAAAATGCTTCTGTGTCTAATAAACATTAGGCTTATAAATCTACCAGCAATTATCAAAAAAAGTAAAGAATCAGAAAAATATAACGAAAATATTTTGGTTTTTTCTATTAATATTTTAGCATATTCTGCAGTTACACAGTAAAGCTAAATTTGAGCCTATATAAATAAGCATAGTAAGCTCTAAGAATTTAGAGTTTCTAATGTGATGTAAATAACATGAAGGAAAAATATCTCCCACACCAACTGAGAATGTGTAATCTTGAATTCTTACACAGGCAAAGAGGGAGATTAATGGGCTTAAAGCAGCCAGAAAGAGGCATGACTAAGTATAACTGCTGTCAGAAGAATGCATACCTAAAAAAATGAAGCAAAACCTTCCCCAACTCCAGCACCATCCCCGGCTTTGCTTTCCTCCTGGTTTTAGGAATAAATGACGTGCAGAGTAAAAGGTTTCTTTTACTCTCCCTGTCATGTATCATCTTGACGTAATACTAACTTCTAAAGGGAAGAAGATCAAAGAAAGTAGACATGGAGCAAGACTGAAATGTTTCAGGAGTTGAATTTTCATGATACATGTTAGATAAAACTGGCCGCAAAGGAAGAAAGCAGATTTTCTATCTATAAGAAAAGTTAATGAAATTAAATTGTTCCCAGTTACATCAAAATACTTCAAGTGATAAGACTTACCTGTTGTAGGAAGGCTACCAAAGTACTGGTCCCCCATTTATCCAGCTTGGGTAGGTTGATATCTTTTAAGTACAAAACAAGTCGTTCACAGTCTTTGGGTCTATAAACTCGACCAGTATTAGTACTGATTACCATGCAAGTCTGGCTCAATTTCTGCAGGAGATGTCGAGAAGTAGTTTGTGCACTACAATGAACTGTAGCAATTTGAGTGGATCGGAGTTGAGAAAAGGAATACCTGAGCAGCATCCTGTGAAAGATGTATAACATTTGACTTTGAAATGCAATCAACAAAATACTTTTTATATTTAATATAAAATTTCTACCATATAAGTATTTCAATTTCTAAATTATGTATGGTGATATTTAAGGGGAAAGTGGTAAACATGGACATAGTTTTCATAGTTTACAACTATCAAAGTAACTCTCTAACTTTCAGGCTGGAAAAAAATAAATTCACATTTTAAGGCATTCTTGGGACTCTTTCAGCCAAAAAAACCCAAATTCCTCAGAAGTAATTTAATTTGATAAAGTATATATAGAATATATCAATCCTGTTTCCTCATAGAGGAAAGATTTTCTTAAGTTCTCCTAGTTAAAAAAAAATTACTATGGGGCCGGCCCGGTGGCACACTGGAGAATGCGCCGCTTGGGAGCGCAGCGGCGCTCCCGCCGAGGGTTCGGATCCCATGTGGAGACCAGTTCCCGCTCACTGGTTGAGCGCGGTGCGAGTGCAACACCGAGGGTTGCGATCCCGTTGCCGGTCCCTGGTACGGGCGTGACACCGAGGGTTGCGATCCCGTTACCGGTTAGTAAAAAAGACAAAAAGGAAAAAAAAAAATTACTATGATTTTATAGAACTTTTTAATTACTACTCTCTCACTAGAAATGTGAAACTAATAATCCATGGCACCTTTATTTCCAGAATCTATACTCTGTAGAAACAAAACTGGGCTGAATTCCACTGAATTAAAAGTTATTTTTAAATAGAAAGCTAACTTCAAGAATCAACTTTTGTAACTAAAGCAAATGGTAATTTGTGAATATATCTAAGGTATTCATTTTTTGTTGTGATTATATACACAGATTTCAAGAGTATCTTCTCAGGTTTCTCTTTCCATCAGAAATAACATAACCTGGCTGAGAAAAGGACACATTCTTACCCCCAATCATTATTTCTACACATAGAGACAATGAAAAGAATCCTCCAGGAAAGTGTAAATGCTACTTTAACCAAAAGAAATGTAACAATAGCTGTTACATCGTTGGGGGAGAGGGGACATAAATCCACAAAATGCACCTCTGTCAACAGTTTTCTTACCCTTTGCCACATCCTTCTGGTCCTATGAGAATAAACGGTTGTTTAGTATCAGAACTTAACCAAGGTTTGAAATAATCTAGACCCCGCTGCATATCAGGAGTCTGAATTACTGGAAGAGTTTGGCCATTATTGAAATCATCAGCAGTCAAGTTTTCTGGCTTCTTCAGCACATAAGATGCTAATCGTCCTGTACTCGAGTCATAGTAGGTGTCCATTGGCTTATGGGGGTCTGGAGGAGACTGTCGTGCCCAGTTAAAAACCTTAAGAGGAAAAAATTGTGATGAGTTTTCACATATTCCCAACAGAGTATGTGAATTTTTTTTAAAGGCCAGCCAAGTGAAGCAGTGGGAGTGGAGAAGAAATGACTGATTGTGATCAATTAGCATAAACACCACTGTACTTGGACTTGCCAAGTGAGTGAGATTTATGTCTTCAAAGTAAATGTCCCAAAAGTGAATCATCTTAGTTCAAAAAAAAAAACCACATATACTAACTAAACCTACTTTATACTTAAGGTAAACTACTTTATCATTAAAATTACATTTTATCTTAAATATTTTTCTCTAAACAATCATTTAAGCAAGTAAATAAAAGCATATAGAGAAAATACCAACTTGGTAGATATTTATTCCATTTTTAATGCAGTTCTTATGAACATAAAATCACAAATTGCTGAATTTTAGGAATTCTAATGCCCTTCATTTCCACCATATTCTGGTACTGCCCATTCCAGTGTTACCACCACTACTCTCAACCTGTTATTCTTCTTTCTAATACTGAAAACTGTTATCTGTGAAGCTATAAAGAGTAGCTCCAATGTTACTCTTTAACACTCTTACTCTGAACTTTGGCAAGATAGTGTCTCACAAAAGTAGCATACAGTATGGCATTGAGTGGTAACAATGAGAAGCATCTGGTGACAGAGGCAACATTAAATATGCATTACCTCTTTGGTGAATTCCAGACGTGATTTCATGTTCAGATTTCCACCAAGTCCCCTTATGAGATTAATAATAAATTGATCATGATCTTTGCATCCATGAAGATGTGACAGACCATTCATCACAGTCCCAACCAAACTTGTTTCTACCACATAGTCATTCTGTTGATTAAAATCCATGGTACAGACAGACAAAAGATAAATGTTAACTAGTAAACTTAAAATCATACAAATTGATGTTCACATATCTTTTCAAGAACCACCTTTAAATTCATCCCTCTATTCAAGCTATAGAAAATTTGGGTTTCATTAAATTTATACATATACTTTGAAAATAAAAAGTAATCATTAAAAAATTACATATTCCTAGCTGTAAGTACTAGAGTCCTCAAATAGATATTTTATTTCTTTACTCCCTAAACCTGAAGAATACAAAAGAAAAGGTAAGTCACTGAGGGAGCACTGGTCCAAAAAGAATAGATGTTCCTTTCCTCTAGCTGATTAAAAGAAAACTAGAAGCAAGAGCTAGATTGATAGTACTGGGGAAAAAAAGGCTAGGAATAGCAGGCTTAAATGAAAAACCATTTGGAGTTTTCTATGTAAGCAGAATTTTAAAATAAAACTTTTCGACTTAGGTGGTAGAGATAGTTTTGATCTATAGGCCTCTGGGGCCTCTGGTAAATGATGGAGAGTTCAGACAAAAAAGGGTTCTCATTCTTTCCATAAATATTTACTGAAAACCAATCATGCAGTTGGATCTATATGTGGTACTAGGTATAAAAAAAATAAGGTGGGTTAAAAACAAGTTCCATCTTCATGCAACTGAAGTGTAGAAGAGGAAATGGTTAACAAGTTATGTTAAGGACTATGGAGTAGTAGAACAGGGTATCTTAAGAAAGGGTAACTTTGATTGAAGGTTCAAGGCCACTTTGAAAAAGGGGACATTTAAGCTAACATGTGAAGAATGAGATATATCTGACCACACAGAGAATACAGCACATGTAGAGGGAAACTTAGTGCAGTTAAGTAATTAGAAGCTATGCCTGAGTAAGCATGAAAACAGTGGTTTAAGTCAGAGAGGTACGCAAGAGCCAGAGTGCAGAATTTATAGGCTATGGTAAGGAATACAAATTATATTTTCACTGGCTTTAAAGTGTTTTTCATAAGAAAGTAAAATTATTCAATTTACATTTTTAAAAGATCACTCTGCTTCTTTGGAAGAAAGAAGAAATCGGGGGAAAGCAGGAAGAAGGTAGGAGACAGAAATCCAGCTGATTAGGTCAAGCTAGGAGTTCTAGATTTTAAAGGCAACATAATGGAAACCCACATATTTTCTTCTAGATTGTCTTATCTGCTGAATTAATACAAGAAAGCAAAGTTCTAGTTAAATGTAAAATGTCAACATTTGACTAGAATAACAATTATGGTATATCTCAAAATCCGAGCATGGTGTTCAAAATGCAGGATAAGAGGAAGGAACATTCAACACCTTTTTAAAAAAAAGTTCTAATAAAAACAGAGAACTGGTCTCAAATCAGTTTATTTTTTAACTCAATCTTTGGTATCCACACTACAGTTTAATAATCTTATCCTGTCACAGTGCCTATAGTACAAACCCCTTTACATACATACCCAAAACTATTCCACCTAGTGTTAAATTCTTCATTCTAACAATAACACAGATATAAACAGCATGCAGTAGATCCAAAAGAAACCAAGATAATGAAGTCAATTTTCTTCCAGAAAAAACAATAAATAACATAGAGGTGTGAATAGCCTCTAAATTAGCTACCTAGAGTTCACCTATGCTAATCAAGTCTGAAAGAAAGTAAAGCCATGTTTTGGTTTGGAAACTTAGAATCTTGAGCTAGAGGTAGGCAGTAGTCTATAAATCACAGTACTAGAGTAAAATCACAGAATCCCTCGCCTCCCAAAAAACTGGAGTCTTAGCCCCAACCCTTTCTCAATTCCAGCTAAGGATGCCAATCAGCAACTTGACTTGGCAGCAAACCATCACAAAATGTTGAATCTTCTTATAAAATAATGGTAATCAGGCAGACTCTAGGTATCTACATAGCTCAGAGGAAAATCCCTTCGATTTTCTTTTATAACGATTTGTGCTGGTACTATGCATCTTTGAATATTAAAAAAAAAAAAAAAAAAAAAAAAGAAAAATTTAAAGAAAAATGACAAGCTAGGAGGAAGTGAGAAAAAAACAGGGTTAATATTTTAGTATATAAAGAGCTCTTGAATAGAAACACAGATAAAAATATAAATAGATAATTCACAAAAGAAAAATTATAATAATCATTGATACTGTTCAATCTCACAATAATCAAAGACATGCACACTAAAGCAATGTAGTATGAATCACCTATCAGGTATAAAATATAAAATATTAATGGTAAGCTTGAAGAAACTTCCTGGAGAACAATTTTTCAATATGTGTTAAAAACATTAAAGTTTTTCCCATACTCTTTAAATTCCCACTGAAGAGATTTTTCCTTATCCTAAGGAAAAAAAGTGGAAAACACACAAAAAGAAGTGTGTTGAAAGATACATGCATCAGAGCATTTTTCTTTTTGATTGACACATACTGATTGTACGTATCTATGGGATAGGTACAAAGTTATATTTCAATACATGTTACACAATGTATAATGATCAAACCAGGGTAATTAGCATATTGTTCATCACAAAAATCTATCATTTCTTTGTGATGAGAACATTTCAGCTATTTTCTTCTAGCCATTTGAGAATGTACAACAGATTATTGTTAATTACAGATGCCTAGCACTACTGTAGAGCACTAGGACTTATTTTTCCTATCTAGCTATAATTTTTTTAATCTGTTAACCGACCTCTCCCTACTCCTCCCAATCCCTCCCAGCCTCTAGTAACCACAATTGGTGTGGAATATCTGAACACCCTCCGTGGTCTTCTTTGCATGCTAAATTTCTATTCATGCTTCAAATTCAAAATCAAGTGTGATCTCCTTTTTAAACCTCTTCTAAAAGACAGCGATATCTTTTCATCCAGTTGTATTGGGATTATTGGTTTACATGTTATTTTCCTCCAGTAGATAAATGCTTCTTAAGGAAAAGGATTATCCTGTTCATCTACACCTCTCAAAGTCTTTCTAGTAGTATACTTGGTATATATTATTCAATACATTTTTGTTAAACAAACAAATATTTTCATCATTATTGCAGGTAACTCACTATCCTTTTTCTACTTTAGTATGAGCTTGATATTGTTTTCAACATGATATATGTGTAGGCATTTATTGACATATCAGTAGAATGTGCTAGCAAGATGATTTTGTAGTAAATATTAGAAAGACATTTTAATAGTCAAGATTTTTAGGTAAGCAGTGTGAGGTATTATGGATAGGAGAAGTAAAATGTTTTAAGACTAACATAATAAAAAGTTATGCTAAGAGGTATAGAGTGACAGCAATGTTGACATCTACCTCTCACTTCACCCCCTTTTCTATCAGGTTCTACCACAAGGCAGCTAAATATAAGCATCACTCTTAATCATCATATTTCTTGCTTCAATAACTAATTACAAAATACTATGGTTAACTTACCTGCTTTAGAACCCATTGTAAAGCTTTTTCAAAATAATCTCCAATCCAATTTCCAAGATTATTCCTATATTTAACAGGTTGATTCCTTAACCAGGATTTTATCAGAGAATTAAGATCTGTTTCTTCATCACTGAAACAGATTAATACAAACATATAAGAAATTATTTATGAAAAAATTGTCAATTTACTTTCAAATAAATTTATGTTCCAATAAACATTATTCCACTCATATATTTTATCTGCTAGCACACAAGAACTGGCTTTAGTTACTTCTGTATGTATGTGTATGTGTATGTAATATAGTTACTTCTGTATATATATATACATACATATAGGTATATATATACACACACATATATATAGTCATCTTCTATAAAATAAAGCAAATATATTTCATATACTTTATTATAAACTAAAGAAGAATTACATATCTACAGGTTAGTCTAAAGTAGTCTAAACCCTTTCTACTCTGAGTGGTATGTTAGTTAGAAATGCAAAATCCCACGTCCCACACCAGACCTATGAGTCTTCCTAAAGTAAAATTCTTTTAGCAAAGCACTTAATTAGGAGTAAAATCCAGTGACTTAAATTATATATAACATTCACATCTTATTCAAAATTATATCTGACATAATTATAAAAAATTATAGAAATATGTTTAAGTATTATGCCAATAAAAAATTATAAATTATATATAACATTCACATCTTATTCAAAATTATATCTGACATAATTATAAAAAATTATGCCAATAAAAAATTATTTTTTAATTATAGCAAAAACAACTCTAGTTAATAATTTTAGAATTGACAAAGGCTCATGATATTGTCATTTTTCCTATCTTCTACCACTGTTTCATATCAACACTAGTAAATAGTGAGTCCTTGAATTTCTCCTCTCAAAATTTCTATCCAATCTAATATAAAGAAGAAAAATTGAAAGATCAAAGATTAATATTTAAATTACATTAGTTGGCTCAAAGCAGGCAAATCAAAGACTCTAAGCTCCTTCAGAATAAAAACTTTCTTATCAGTGCATCTCCTCAATGCCTACAGAGACTACCTATCTGAACTCAATTATAATATTTAAATAAAAGTAATGGAAAAAAGAAGAGAACAAATTAAATACTTGCTATTTCACTTAAACAAAAATATTATTTAGTAATTGTAATACAACTAAGCTGCTGAAATAATTAAAATGCAATAAAACAGGAACTCTCTGAATGAATTAAACCCTAACCAGAAAAAGGAAATTAATAATAAATGGGAAAAATAAATATTTATATATTATTCACAGTACATTTATTTTACTTAGCTATAAAACCAAAATAATAATTAAAGAATATTCTAATATAATGTATGGAAATGCTCTGTGGCTTACCTAAGAAAGATCATTCCCATTCTAGATATTGTGGCTGGTGAAGCACAACTTAAATCATGAGTTTCAAATACAAAGTTAACATTTGGACCAAACTGAATCCTTTCTCCACTTGGCATGGTGAGTAGTCGATTATCATCCAGAACTGAATTCAGAGATTCTATCCATTCAGGGTCAATATCACCATCACAGATTATCCATGAGCTGACATCTATTTTAAAACCAAAATGAGTATAAAACAGAAATATATATGCCTAATAATAAGGAATAAACTAATTATCTCTTTTCAGGGTCAATATCACCATCACAGATTATCCATGAGCTGACATCTATTTTAAAACCAAAATAATGAGTATAAAACAGAAATATATATGCCTAATAATAAGGAATAAACTAATTATCTCTTCTTATTTAGAAGTAATTTTTACTGATGTTGAATATAAAAAACAAAAAGTCAAACAAGGTAAAAACGTTCATGTGATTTCACAAATCACAAATGTGCTAGAAAACACATGGGCGATTTTGAATCAGCTGGCCAAAGACTCAGTTATATGCCATGTGATAATGCTTACCTATAAACATGCAAAATTGGTAATCTTACTAAAAAAAATGTGTGTGAGAGCTAGGTAATTCTACTTCCGTGAGATAACTATAAGATATTCTTCAGACTTCTACCTTCTACCATATCATAAAAATGTACAAATGCTTCCTGTGTAATACGTCTTTCAGAAAATATAGGAAACCCAATTTTTAGTAACCTACATAAGAGATAAAAAAAATTGCCACTGTCAAAGTTTTTTGATATATAAAAAGGTGACCTCAAAGTGGAAAAGCAGTGACCAAGTTCCATATACAGTCTTACCATGAACAAACCTTTTTTTTTCATCCTTCCCAAAATGGGAGTCTTTCAAGTTGTACTTAAACCATTGCAACAATTCAAAGAGGCAAATGTCACCAATAAAAATGTGAGAAATATGTGAAGGTAATATCTGGTCTTTATTTAATGTGTGATAATAGAGAAAATAAAGAGACTACATTGAAAATCCTTTCTAATATCTTAGAATTCTAAACCTTTCACTCACTGTGTTAGAGAAACTATTAATTAAATTATGACCTGGAAAATGTAGCCTATCTCCTCTGATTCTGACTAAAAATTCTCTTGGAAACCAAATCAAGAAATTTAGACGAGAAAGTCTATTGTTTTACCACTTACATTTTCAAAATTATTCAAAACACTGTTTTCATACTGATGAGTGCACACATACACCAATTTTAAACCCAAATAAAAATCTGTCATCTTGCTTATTAGTGAGGCATTACAGTAACAATTCAGGAATCAAAGATTTTATACTTATTTAGTAAATTAACCTAGTTTTGAATTACGATTCACCCAACTTACTCTGAGTTTCTATTATATTAAAAGTTGTTATAAGAGTGTACTCAAAAGGAGATAGAATATCTGAGGACTCTCCAAAGTAAAATATCTAATGTACATCATTTTAATGCAGTTTATGGTTATGTTTAAGCATTAAAAAACAGCATTATAGACAGGTTCTATTATTCTCTAAGAATTAAGAAGTAAATGAATGAATTACAGAGACCAACCTTGAGGCTCCCGAACCACTTGGCGAGCACTATTTGTCAAAACTCCATCAGACCATTCTCTTGTATCCATGTCAATATGGCCTAATAATTGATGTCTAGGCATAGCTTTAGGATTCATAGTATATTGTTTTACCACTTTGCCAATTTTACAAAGTGCCGCCCTTAACATTCTCCAAAGGGTTGATTTGCCAGCACCACTTGGACCAACAATAACAACTCCCATCCTCTGGCGTAATTGTTCATACAATTCTAAAGCCTTCTTGATCTAATAGAAAATAAATACATTCATATATGACTTATTAGGTACAATCATTCAGTTCTGCTTTCATTTGTAACAGTTGTTTCATTCCAAACATGTAAATTAAGTCTTTGATTTCTTCAGTGGAAAATAAAATCTTAAATAGGACAATACCTAAATAAATCTGAACATATTTACTAAAAGAAACAAGGACGCTTTCCAAGTATTTGACAATATGTTCATTATTTTCATCACTCATCAGTACATCTAAATATAATATATTCATTATTATATTCAGTTATTCATTTCATTTACATTCTACCTCTCTTCAAAAAAAAATCTAAGGGAAAAGCATTAATTTAGAACAAGTAGTTTCAAAGTGAAACTAAATCATACATAATCAATTATTAAACATATATATAAAATGGCCCCATATTGGCCAGTCAAAAAAAAAATTTTTTTTTAAAACAACGTATGTATATATGTGTATATATATATACATATATATATATATGACGGATCTATTATGTGCCAGGTACGATAGGCACTAGGAATAAAGGCAAAAATATATGTGGATGCTGCCTTTCATGCAGACTACTACCTGGTAGGAAAGAATCAATATTAATAAAATACACAATTAAACATTAAACAAGTATATATGATAAGAGAAACAAAAGCATATAGCAAAAGGACCTAATCAAGACTTGAAGATCAGAGAAGTCTTCCCTGAGAAAGTGAGATTTAAGTTGAAAGACAAAAGATAAGCTGAAAAATGAGGGATAGGATAGTTAATAAGGAATTAAGGAATTAAAATATTATAAAATATCCTCGACAGTTACCTGATTGGGTATAATTTCATAATTGGCCTCTTCAAAGGCTTGCTTTAATGCAGCACTTAGTTCATCATATTCTACTTCTTTAAAGTCAATTCCAGGAAAGACATCTTTAATCAGTGCATCAAACCGGGTGCAATCAGCAAATGTAAACTTTGACATTGTATTAAGCCTCAATGCTTGTACCACAATATGACTTTCATTAGCTAGAGAAAAAGTTTCACTTTTAAATAATTTGTTATCAATTTAATGACTATAAAAATAGTTTTTAAGCGTTCTATAACCTTGATATGCATTATTAATCATTAAATGGTGCCCTAGAATTTAGCAACATTTAAAGACATATCATATCATGTGAACTGGCAATCTTACCTTACTGTCTTTTGACTGCTGAAAAATAAGTACCACTAAGTAGAGTTATGAACTCCTTTCTATAGGATTTGAATCCCAGGGTACTCAGACTTTAATTAATAATAAAAATTATTATCACTTATATTTGCATAGTACTTTGCCTTTTATATTATATGATGTGATCCTGTGACAAGTCTATAAAGCAGGTAAAAAAGTATTACTATTATTATTCCAGTTTTACATATGAGAACATTAAGTCTTTAAGGGTTTAAATGACTTTCTTGAGAAGGCACAGAAGTAAGTATCACAGCTGGGATTCAAATCTAGGTAAAAAAATCTAGATTCAGGTATCTCTCCAAATATACCAATATTGCCTCCAAGAAAGATTATGTCCTGAAACTAAAAACTAACAAATTGAACAGCAGTCTTTGATCAGCCTTATTCTAAAATGTCTCATAAACCCATTCTCAAATGGAATTCAAATATATCACTGCCAGACTCTCATTTTCAAGGATATCAGCTGCTGATTGAAAATATATACACAAAGGCAAAGAAACTACTTTTAGCCTGGTATTTCCTCTATAATGACTTAAAATTGCTATTTTAAATATACATAAAGAGGCTTGGTGCTCTAGAGTTTATTTCAAGCATATGAACTCATAAGTCATTTTTATTTACTACAGTTCTGGTTTAAATATTAAAAATTACCAAAGCTAGAAACTTAAAAATAGTAATTTAAGTACTTCACAAAATAACTATATCTACCCTGACTTATGCCAACCTAGTAATACAACTAAAGTAGCTCCCTTTTTTAAGATGTATACTTTGACATTTAAAGTGCCAATAGGTAATTGCATGTAGTCCTTTCTTTTTATGCTTTATCTAATTTTCATAGAGTTTTGACTCAGTTTTTCATAGCAACCTGAAGAAGCTGAATATTTAGCTTATGTCCACAGGTGGGGGGGGAACCATTCATTTTATATAAGTGAAAAATACATGAGCAAAGTATAATATAAATATAATTGAGTCCATACTGATCTAAATAAATGATTTAATAAATATATAAATGAGAGAGAAGAGACAAATCTTCTTTATAGAGGAATTTCAAATAATATATGCAGATCCTCCCCCATCTAAGGGGTGAAGCTTAATTCTTGCTTCCTCACTTTGAGGGTGTTAGATTTAGTAACATGCTTCCAAGGGATAAGGTAGGGAAAGGGAAAAATAATGACTTTACAGTAGAGTAACCTGGCAAACACTACCATAGCCAAGTGATGAGGGATAACATCACCAATGATGTCATATGTTTAGTATGCACGTACTCATTGATATGATGTTATGAGAAAGGCACTCCACCTCTGCAGTATTCTTTCCAAACATTCATAACCTAGTCTACTTATGGTATACTATCTTTGTAAGAGAAAATCCCCATGTGTTTCTTAGGTTTCTGTTTTTGTTTCAAGACTATACAAACTCTCAGGCTCCTCTACCTAGCTATTTAATCAGGAACTCTGGGGGTAGGGTCCAACAATCTGTGTTTTAATAGCCAACAGATGATTCCAAGGGACATTCAAGTTTGGGAATAAGTGGACTAGACTACTCCTTTACATATAACAACTATTTAATATTTAATGCATATTTAAAAGTTATTATAGGACATCACATTAAAAACTAGAGAAAATTCTAATACAGTATGGACTTTAGTCAAAAAACAACCAATCAAAATTGGTTCACTAGTTATGACAAATGCACCAAATGTAATGAAAGATGTTAACAATAGGAGAAACTGGGGGAAGAGTATACAGAAATTCTCTATACTATATCTACAACTTTTCTGTAAATCTAAAACTATTCTAAACTAAAACTTATTTTAAAAAATAATTTATTATATTTGGAATAATTAATCAAACCATTCTGTTTAGTGCCATTTTTCTTCAGCTGTCTAAGGAGATTTCCGCTTCCTCTCAGAACTGTCTTCAAAGCTCGCAAACCCCAATCATAATGTTGCTGAGGTGTCAAAAGTTCCCTGAAATAGACATGGAAATCTTAAAGTAGCAAATAACTACGAGAAATTCTTTTTATCATCACATCCAAAAAAATACAAAATATAATTACACATGGAAATGAATAATGATATTCCATTTAATTTATACAAGGGTACTTCAAAGAGTTCCTGGAAAGATTCAAATTATCTTTTAATTCTACTTTTTCACAAACTTTTTGAAAAGTACTCTCATATAAGGGAGACAATCACACAAGATGATCATTCAAGTATGATGTGAAAGATAGATGGCTCTCAAGGATCAAGATAAACTTTCTATGAACTGGCTAACTATGTTAATGAAGATTGTAAATGACAATTACAGGTTACCTTTATTCCTAAGGTCTTTAATCAATCCATCTTGCTCTCAATCTCTGACAGTGCCTACTTTCCCTCTATTGCTTAAGTGATATGAACCAGAATTCTAGGTTGCCCCAAAAAACCTAAAAGTCATCCTCTATTACTAGAAATAAGACATAAGAAAAATTGTGAAAGATTTCCTCCAGAGAACAGTAGCTTTTGAGTGGTCATATGGTAAGTAAGTTCAGTAAGAATCATTTAACTGGAGCACTCCAAAGTAAATACATATTTTTAAATTGATCATATTAATAATACTTAATAAAAACTAGTAGTTTGGGGCCAGATGTTTTTATTGTTCAAGCTAAAATCTTCCGTATCAACACCGTAAGTACAATAAAATCACCAATATGAAAACTCACTGAATTGATAAATTGGGAAAACACAAACACGGTCAATAATCACCATAATCAATCATTAGAAATGTATTTAAAACAGGAAAGCTAGCTAGTTAGCTCAGGTGGTTAGAGCATGGTGCTGATAACACCAAGGTCCAGGGTTCAATCCCTATACTGGTCGTTGCCAAAAAAAAAAAAAAAAAAAAAAAACTTAAAACAGGAAAACTCACCTAGATAGATTAAAAATAGACACTAATTTTCTGCCCAATACTTCAGCATCTTTAAAGCCTTCTGAATAGAGAATAACTTCTGCAATAAGCTCATTGTCTGGACGAGACATAGCTACTGGCCTGAAAAGCTGTTTAAGATTATCAGGTAGTTTTTGTCTTCCTCCATAACCTTTTCCAGCAGGATTCATAGTGATGAAAATTCCAGAATTAGAATTTATTTCTACCTGAAATATTAATTTAAAATATAGGCATCAAAGATTTGAAACTATAAATATAAAATACATTGCCAAGACAAATTTTGTGACATATTCTACACATAAATCTAACACCCTACCAAAAAATAACCTCCAATGTGCTAACCATCTCCTTACCCAACTGATAATAAACTCCTTCAGAACTATACTGTTTCACAGAGGTTCTTTATAATCCATTTCTTTAGGTTGAAAATTTGAGAGATGATAAATAATTTGAAAGTCTACTTACTAAGTCAACATGTGTTTACTGAAAGCCCTCTTTGTGCTAGGCACTTTGTTCAGTATGCAGAGACAACTCTGAACTAAAGTCAATAATAGTTAATGCCCTTCTGGAGCTCATAGTCTATCTAATATTACAAAGAGACAATCACAGTGGGATAAAAGTATAACAGGGATGAGTAGAATGTCATGAGAGCACCTAGTAGGGAAAATTTTCAACAAAGCACTAAGAATAGAAGCTAAAATTAGAATGTGTAAACAATGAATGAGTAATTACTAGGTAGAAACCCCTACAGTGGTACAACCAAGAAATCTGGCTATAAAGGAAAGAAAAGAGAAAGATCAGGGGTTGAAGGAAAAATGAATCAAGAGTCTTGTTTATGTTTTAATTATTATTAAGATGAAAACGATGTGATTATGTTTAAAAGCTAATAAGGAATCCACAGAAAAGGGAATAACTAAGAGAAGGCCCCTGGAAAGTAGATTCCAAAGCATAGGTGAAAGATTAGTACTGTTTGGGAGAAAAGACAACTCTTTCTTTGTGAGAAGAACAAAGGGGAAAAAATGAATGTGGAAAAAAATAAATTTTGATATGTGAAAAGTAATTCTTATATAATAGTTTCTCTTTTCTTGTCAAGAGTTAAAGCATCACATAAATCACATGTTAACTATGTAAAACTGGTGTTACTTCCTTGGGCTACCCAGAAAAATTTGTATTACAAAAATGTTATTTTGGATAACAGGATAATTCCAAAGTTCTTAGAACTTTCAGTGTGCTCAGCATTGTGTATTATATACAGAAGTTTACATTTTTTATACAAATAAGTTTACATTCTAATGACATAAATGTATATATATCTCCTTTGGGGAGAGTGAGGAACAGAAGAGTAGCTAAGTGTTTATTGTTTTAACACTCATATAAAATAATGATTTAAAACATGTGCTTCAGAATTAGACAGTCCTGGATTCAATTTCTAGCTCTACTACACATTATTACTTATCAAGTCCTGGTTCTTCATCCATAAAGGGCAGAAAAAATAATAGTACCTACCTCAAGGGTGTGGTATTAACTAAGACAATATATTAAAGCACTATGTACAGTGCCAGCACAGATAATATGAGAATATGTGTGATATATAATAATATAAATACTATTATAACTGAATTATTCAATATTGAAAGTTTAAAAATGAATGGTAAAAATGGGACTAAAAAAAGGGTAAGAAATCTCAGAGACATTTCACAGATAAAAAGGCTTAACATGCTGGCCACGGATTAGAAACAGAGGTGTAGGAGAAATAAAGATAGAATAATGCCTGAGAATGAGTAATGTCAAGTCTTAGAAATATTTTAATTCTTTAAATTCCCAACATATTCAATACCTCTTTGCCAAGCAGTTCACATACAGTTCTATGATTCTTCAAGGCATCTTGAATTGTCTGAATTTGCATAGATACTGCTGACAGTACAGATTCTTCCAGTCTGTTGAATTCATCAAAACAACCCCAGGCTCCACACTTCACCAAACCAACAAATATTCGCCCCATTGACTTCACATCGATGCCCTTAAAAACAATGACAAAAATTATATTCATTAAAAAATAATTAAAATATCTAACAATAATTTGACATTTGATGTAATTTATTAATAAATTCATCATTTCACCCATTTACGCCTCTTTTGCTCTTCTTAAAATAGGGATTAAGTAGCTATTCTTTCAAAATCTTGTGGTTTCAAGGAATAAACTAAATAATGTGCATGATAGTATTACAAAATGTACAGAGAACTAAACAAATGTAAGATTTTGTTTTAGAGATTAAGTCAAAATATAAATCTTAGATAAAACGCTTTGAAAATGGTAATTTAAAATAAATTTAAGATTTTTCCCTTTCTATTCTGAATTCTCCTTACTAAAAACATTTTTCTACAATGAAACATAAACCTCTACTCTGTATTTAAAATTAGTTCTTCACATTAATTCTTCTTAGAAAAGTTTTGGGACTATACTATGTGCAACTTCTCTCCACTTTACTTTTCAATTAAAACAAATTCCATCTTCAAGGGATTTAAAAGTACAGTGATTTTAAAATAGAGTGTTTCATATATAAGTACATGAAAACTAATACAAATATGTTTAACACACTATTATATATTTTGACAATTATTTATCTTCTCTCCACTTTACTTTTCAATTAAAACAAATTCCATCTTCAAGGGATTTAAAAGTACAGTAATTTTAAAATAGAGTGTTTCATATATAAGTACATGAAAACTAATACAAATATGTTTAACACACTATTATATATTTTGACAATTATTTATCCTACCTCATCACAATTAAAAACTAAAACTTGTCTTCCAAGAAGTCCACCTAAAGCCTTTACTGATTCGGTTTTTCCAGTTCCAGCTGGTCCATAAGGATTTCCTCCAAGTCCCATCTTGATGGCTTGAGTAAGAGTTAGGTAGCACTTGTCTGTCAATGGAGTATAAACCAGCTTGGGAGCATTACCCTGTACAAGGCAAACATAAAGTCAGAGTACTCATGTTTTACTCAACATTTACTAATATTTATACAGTGTGAGATTCTAGTTAAAAAGCTAAAAATGCAACAGACAGGTTAAACTCTTTAACACAGAAAGTCATCCAAAATTTTTATTAGTGAAAGAAACTTTCTAAAGCACAAACTGTAATTAAACGAGTTATTTCTCAAGCATGTATTTCGTTCTATCCACAATTAATATAGTGGTACATTTTCAAATAGTCTCTCAATTTTTTCCCCCACAATAATGTCAGTTTTGATAATGGCACAAAGATATACTTCTAAGGAAAACAAATCCAAAAATTTACTATAATCATTCCAGTTTGCATTTTAAAATTCATGTAAATTCTTTCCTTGAACCTTATGATTTCTGCAAATAAGAACTACTTTGAAGACCTCAAAGTGTAATTAATTTGAAAAATTCCTTATGAAAGTAATAATTTTAACTTATCAAATAATTCTCAAAACTTCTATTAAGAATATAAAGAAAGCAGATTCCAATTCCAGCTGCAGTTTACAGGGTTTTTCTCAATTTAGGTAGACAGATTTGGGTCTCAAAATACATTTCTTTATTGAAAGAGCCAACTGATAGCTCTCCTAACATATGCTTACTAGCAAAATTGTCAAATATTATGGTGATTGATTCGCTATGATGGAAAAAGGCAGAGAGGATATAGCTGGATTTTTTGAGAACAAGTTACATGAACTAGTACATTTGTTTAACATTCTTTTACCTTACAAACTGAAAACTCTTAGTGAACATATTTTAGCATATTTACAATTGCACTAATTTTGGCCTTGTATAAACAGGAGGCACAAATCAAATTGTTTCCATTGAAGATACATACATTCAATTCTCCTTGGATTAAAGATATATTTCAAATTCTATATAAATGACATTCTAAGATAAAGGTACATTTTATAGAATTCAATAAAACACTGACAAGATTTTAACTTTTTTGTAAATATAATGATGTTTTATTTTTTCTTATGTAATACCTTTTAATTCTGATGAAAAAGAAAAAAGTTAATATGAAAAAATTATTGAAGTTACTAATGAAATAAAAATAATTCTTTCTTCCAGTAACAAATTTCCTTTATAGTAAATAATTTCTAACTGCAAAAATAAAACACTTCTGCCACAAGTCATACCTGATACTC